GCACATCCCTAATTGTTCTTGAGAAAGTGGTGATGTGTTGCCTTGTTGAACCATAAGGTGTGGGGACCCCCACAGTGCTGTTAGGGAGGGAGTTCCAGAATTTTGACCTAACAATAGTAAGGAAATCACAGAATTCCACAGTGGAGAAAGGGACCATTCTGCCCATCAATTTTGCGCCAACCCTCCAAACAGCATCCTACCCTAACCCTGCATTTGCCATGGCTAAATACCAAAAGAACTGTGGATGCTGTAAATCAGGAACACAAACAGAAGTTGCTGGAAAAGTTCAGCAGGTCTGGCAGCATCTGTGAAGAAAAAATCAGAGTTAATGTTTCGGGTCCAGTGACCCTTCCTCAGTTCTGTTGTTTCCGCCATGGCTAATCCACCCACCCTGCACATCCTTTGACACTATGGAGCAATTTAGCATGGCCAACCCACCTAACCTGAATGCATTTGGAATGTAGGCAGAAACCAGAGTACCCAGTGGAAACCCATGCAGACACAGGGAAAATATGCAAACTCCACACAGTTAGTAATCCCAGGCTTGGATCGAACCCAGGTCCCTGCTACTGTGAGGCAGCAGTACTGACAATTGCACCACTATGCCACCTAAAATTGATATAGTTCCAAGTTAAGATGGTGTATGACTCAAAGGGGAACTTGCAGGTGTTGGTGTTCTCATATCTGCTGCTTGTACTCTAGGTGGGAAAAGACATGAGTTTAGAAAGTGCTGTATAAGGAACCCTTGGGAGTTGTTCCAGTTTGTCCTGGAGATGGTATGCACTGATACCACTGTTGTTGGTAGTACAAATAGTGACTGTATTAAGTGGTTGTTGTGGTGCCAACCAAGTGGCTGCTTTGTCCTGGATGGTTTTGAGCTTTTTGAATGTTAATTGGAGCGGCAGTCATCCAATAATGTGGAAAGTATTCAATCATATTCCTAACTTGTGCCTAGTTTTGTACAGTTCTGAGCATCAAATTGTAGGGAGAATGTAAACGTGTTGAGAAGAGTGCAGAAAATATTTATAAGAACAATACCAGGGATGAGAAACTTCACTCATGAAGATAGATTGGAGAGGTTGGGACTGTTCTCCTCGGCGAAAAGAAGGCTAAGAGGACATCTCATTATTGAAGTTTTCAAAATCATGAGAGATGAGCAGAATAGATAAGAGAGAAACTGTTCCTGCTGATAAAAGGATCAAGAACGAGAGGGCAGGTAATTAAAGTGATTTGCGAGAGAGCAAACAAGAGGTGAGGAAAGAAAACTTTTCCATATAAGAGTTGTTTGGGACTAGAATGCACTTCCTGGAATTGTATTGGAGGCAGGTTCAGTCGAGGCATTCAAGAGGGCATTGGGTTATTATTTAAAAAGAAACGATCTACAAGAGTGTACTATAGCAGTGCAAGGCAGCAGCTCGCCACCATCTTCTCAACGGCAACTAGGGATGGGCAATAAAATGCTGGCCAGCCAGCGAAGTACAAATCCCACGAGTGAATATTTAAAAAAAAGAAAAGGCAGGAGATTAGCACAAAGTTACGCTGGATAGCTGGTGCAGACACGATGGCCCAAGTGGCCTCCCTCTGCACCATAACATTTTGTTTGAAATTCTCGTTCTTCTGACCTCTCTCTGTTGCATTATTATTGACCCTACATAGTATGTATGGTATGGTGAATGATTATGATCTCATTTTAAGGATGAAAGGGTAAGAGGTTGATGGTTGGATTATTGACTGTAGGAATTATTTGAATTAAGGGGTGAGCACAACACTTCCGATGGGACTGTCAGACCTCCTTATGTGCACAGATAGGGAAAGCATGCCTTCATGATGTTATAAGGCTTCTCTGCCAGTGGTTTCAGACATTATGGTCACAGCTGGCTTCTTGGAGGGGGATGGCAATCGTTCTGTACCTTTGCTTTAGCTGCAGTTTTACAAGGTGATGTTGACCACAATTGTTGGAAGCCTTTAATAGGGTATAGTAAATGGCACTTATAGATCTGTGCTCCATTACTACACTTGGTCCACATAAGTGCTGTTGTTTCTCTGCTTGGTTTCACCAGTAAGGCTCTTAAATAGAGTCAAACAGCATGAAAACAGACTCTTCAGTCCAACTCATCCATGCTGACCAAGTTTCCCAAACTAAATTAGTCCCATTTGCCTGCATTTGGCCCGTATCCTTCTAAACCTTTCCTATTTGAGTACCTGTCCAAATGTTTTTTAAATGTCGTAACTGCACCTGCATCTACCACATCCTCTGGCTGTTCATTTCACAAACAATTCCTTTATTGGAGTCATTGGCCAGGTCTCCCCTCTCAGGACGCTGCCACTGATACTGTGTGGCAGATCAAAAAATGTGCAAGATGTGACTGCTCGACAATGAATGAATAGCAGTAGCTCCCTGGATATCTAAAGCAGACACATGATAAATTTTTGGTTGCCAAAACTATTGCAAATTGAAGAAATGCAATCCCTTGCAATTGATAAGGACTCCTGGCTGAACTGAGATACCTTGGATCCCACATGTGTTTACCCAATAGTTGTCTATGAACCTGTGAAAAACCTACCAATGCAGTGAAGCTGACAACCATCTTTTGTTAGCGGCATCCATATCAAAATGTACTTAAGTGGTGGCTTTCAGAAATAAGACATCGGTATCATGAGAGATACATTTATAGGCAACAGAATGTGAGATTCTACAGAAGATACTAGCACATCTCTAGCAGGAACTGGAGAATTAGCAGCACGACATTCAACGCATTGATAATCTTGTTGGTAACTGGAATGCTCACTCACCTGGCCTTCTTGGAAGCAGGTCTCCTTCCATGAGACTGCAGATGTCAACGATGACCTATTGATGAGGCACTGTTGTTCCATCATGTTGAGAATGCTTATTGCTTGTACACTCTGTGCTGGGAGTATCACCTCCTTCAAACTGGAACACTGTCAACAGCCATCCTCCATCCCTACTGTCTTATGGAGTGGTAGCTGGCTGCAGAGAATTCTGCCACTGTTGGCACCCTTGCATTTTTTGCAGTTTCTTGCTGTTACTGCTGTTATTCCTCCTGCTGCTTCTCATCACAGGTCCAGGTTACTGCTGCATTAAGTTGTTACTCCCATGATGTAGTGCAGGTTCACAGCAGGGAAGTTAGATGAAGATGAGTAGACTCCAAGGTAATTCAAATTGTTTCCAAAATGTAGGAAATGACCCTCAAAATAGTAAAATCAAACTCACACAACTAAACCTTCAAGCACAAAAAAGCCTTTCACTGAAATAAAAGCAGAAAGTGCTGAAAATGCCCAGCTGGACTGGCAGCATCTGTGTGCAGAGAGAGAGAATTAAATTTTGACTTGAATGTAACTCAGAACTATCTGAATAAAGCCTTGCAGTGAAGATAGCACACATTTTGAGGTTTCATTCTTTAAAAGGCTTCCTGCTAGTTAGTTTCACAGTTCAATTAATCACTGCTATACTCTCATCTTGTGAACCCCTGGTAGAAAATACTCAGGAAACCTATGTAGTGGCTGATAAAGTTAACTGCATCTTACAATATTTAAATTTCTTTACTTAATAGCTCCACAGGGTTACCCTGTTTGCATTACAAGTGCACCCTGGTTAAACTCCAGCAATGGGATCTTGTCAGGTTCTTGACTCAGTGCCACTTTTTAATTCACTAATCCCTAGCTCCACCAATACCTAAACTGACATCCACTTGGCTGTTAAAATTCTGCACCGATAACTCCATCATTTCTTCAGAAAGTATTGGGCTTCAGCCATACTGACTGTATTTATTTTACATCTAGTTCAACCATTGCAATTATTGCTCAAACTCTAGCTCCAAGGTGAATATATCTTCTGAAATTTATGGAACATTTAACCAAATATACATTGTAATCAGTTCAGTCTGCTATTTATCATTACCTCTTCATCCTTCAAGCTTTCTCTTACATTTGTACAAACTGAATCTGAATCAAGCTTTCAAATATGACCTGTAGTTTTTCTTCAAATATTGTGAAAAACAAGTGGATGAAATCAACTAAAAGTTGTAGAAAATGTTCTAGCAGATTGACTTGTTGCTGATGCATTCTAGAATGTTTAGTACACTACACCTGTTTAATATTCAAACTTTACCTTTAGCTAACTAAGCCAAAGGATTTTCTATTCATTTGTGGGATGTGGGCGACCAGCATTTCTTGCTGATCCCTGGTTGCCCTTGAGAAGATGGTGGTGAGCTGCCTTCTTGAATCGCTGCAGTCCTCCTGCAGTGGATTGACCCCCAGTGCTATTAGGGAGGGAATTCCAGGGTTTTGACCCAGCGACAGTGAAGGAGCGGCAATATATTTCCAAGTCAGGATGGTGAGTGGCTTGGAGGGGAACTTGGATCTTGGAATTTGGATTAAGCAAAAGAAAAATTTATTCGAAGTCCAATCATTTAGGAGAGGCTGAGGCTTTCAACTAAAAATTGTAAAGCAGACATTAAAAATGACAAAATATCAATGGATACATTAAACCATTAATGTGAGATATGAAATTATTTGAAATTTTAAAGACCAGGTTTCATATTTTGGATACTAAAAATTTTAGTTACTGATGAAAAGAAGTGCCAAAAACTTTCTTTCGAAGTAGTTGAGTGATTTACAATGCCACCTAGTGCTATAACAAGTAATTATCACAAGTGTGATTTAGTTTGGTAGTCCTATTACAGCATCTCATAGTGATCTGACAGGTAGTTGTTATAAGTAAGTGTGACAGGTAAGTGAATGTTTAACATTGAAATGCTAATTTGAAATGTTTAACTATCATTTCACATTTTAACTTTTAATATGAAGTAAAAGTTTGTAGATAGGAATTGCATACCATGCATTAATGTTTACTTATGTTTAAAGTCAACAGACATATTCCAGAATCGTACATCTATGATTCCAATATCCAAATATATATTAAATATTAATTCAGCATTAAAATGGATACTTAGTACTCAGTGGGTTAATTTCATTTGCAGGATTTTGGTAAAATCCCAGATTATCTAATCAAGCAGTCTGAAGAGGAGAAGAAAGCACAAGAAGAATATGATGCCTATGTAAAAGAGCGTATACGGCAAGGTTCCATGAAAATGTTGACTGAAGAGGAGCGGAACAACGTGTTATCGGTTAGCAATGATTATCACTTCATGGTATAATGGAAAAATCAGATATCTGGCTAAAATTTCAAAACAGAAGAAAAGATATGAAAAGGAATAAGCCAAGAGACCATCAAGCCTTTTTCACCATTCTGTTATCTTGTAATTCTCCCAATGTAGCTTATACTCACTGTCTTCTCCATCTCTGTATGAATTCAGAATGGTATATTTTTCCATTACCTCCAATTTATATCGTCCCAACCTCCTTCCCAGTTCATGTTGACAATCTTTTTATGGTCTAGCGTCATGTCAGCACCTCCCACAACTTCCCAATTCATGCTTTCAGACCATAGCCAGTGCATTCATACTTGAACTCACAGTTCATAGTGTCATTTTGGCACAGAAAGAGGATATTTGGCCCTCCGAATCCATGCTGCCTCTTTGCTCTGCAATCCAGTCAGTCTAATTCTCAGATGCTCTTCGTGTAGCCCTGCAAGTTTATTATCCAATTTCCTTTTGGTATCATTCAACATTTCTGAATCCATCACATTTCAAAGACAGCAAGTTCCGAGTCATTACCATATGCTGCAAAACAGTTCTTCCTTACATTCTCCTTTTCATCAGGCTGGGGGCAAATAGATTTTGAGTAAGTGAAATTAAAAATCTGAAAAGAAGAACATAAGGCAAGATCTGTGAAAAAATGGAAAATCAGTGCAATTTCTTTATATATTCAAAACATTAATTGTCTAATTTAGCAATGTATTTGTATATTTATAACATTACCACAAACTATTCTCCTCAGTAGGAGGGGGAAAAGTGATGGAGTATTGGTAATGTCACTCACTACTAATCCACAGATGTGAGATAATGTCCCACAGCAGGTGATGAAATTTCAATGTAATAAAAAATCTGGAATTAAGAAGCTAGTGTAATGGTGACCATTGTTGAATGTCATAAGAACCCCTCTGGTTTTGAAATCTGTCATCCTTACCTGGTCTGGCCTACATGTGATTCTACACTCTCAGCCCTCTAACATGGTTTTGCAAGCTATAGATTGTATCAAATTGCTACAAGTGGTTCAAGAGGTGGCAATAAACTATAAAATACTTGCCTCGTGAATAGGCGGAGCGAAGGCTGAGCAGGAGCAAACACGGACACTGGGATTGCTGGGTAATTGAACTAATATATTCAGGCAGTAGCTAAACCCGAAACAGTACACGTGTAGTGTCTCCCACCCATCCTCCTCCTCTAACCAAAAGAAAGACTGTGTGAAGGGTCAGTAGGGTGAGGTTTTTTTTCTTTCTCTATCTCTTCTGGCAAATCAGAGCAGAAGGGATGGAAGCTAGGGCAGTTGCATGCTCCTCTTGTAGGATGTGGGAGGTAAGGATCACCACTAGTGTCCCTGCTGACTTCACCTGCAAGAACTGCACCCAACTCCAGCTTCTCACAGACCGCATTAGGGAACTGGAACACTAGCTGGATGAACTCCGGATCATTTGGGAGGCTGAGGGAGTGATAGAGACAAGTTATAGAGAGGTAGTTACACCTAAGTTACAGGATAAATGTGGCTGGGTGACTGTCAGGAGAGGGAAAGAGAATAGGCAGACAGTGCAGGGATCCCCTGTGGCCATTCCCCTCTATAATAAGTATACCGCTTTGGATACTGTTGAGGGGGGAACCTACCAGGGGAAAGCCATAGCGGTCAGGTCTCTGGCATTGAGCCTGGCTCTGTGACTTAGAAGGCAATGGGGCAGATAGGAGAGCGATAATGGTAGGTGATTCAACGAACAGACAGGAGATTCTGTTATCGCGAACGAGACTCCCGGATGGTATGTTGCCTCCCGGGTGCCATGGTCAGGGATGTCTCGGATCGAGTCTACAGGATTCTTAAGGGGGAGAGTGAGCAGCCAGAAGTCATGGTAAACATTGGTACCAATGACATAACTAGGAAAGGGGATGAGGACCTGAAGAGTGAATATAAGGAGTTAGGTTGGAAGCTAAAAGGCAGGACGAGCAGAGGAGTAATCTCAGGATTATTGCCGGTGCCGTGGGCTAGTCAGGCTAGGAATAGAGAGCGAGTGCAGCTGAATATGTGTTACAGAGCTGGTGTAGGAGGGAACGCTTCAGATACGTGGATCATTGGGGTACTTTCTGGAGAAGGTGGTACCTGTACTAGAAGGACGGGCTGCATCTGAACTGGAGGGGCACCAATATCCTGGGTGGGAGGTTTGCTAGAGCTCTTCAGGAGGGTTTAAACTAGTTTGGCAGGGGGATGGGAACCGGAGCTACCGATCAGAGGATGGGGTAGCTGGTGTACAGGCATATACAGAATGCAGAGAGTCTGTGAGGAAGGGTAGACAGTTGATAGGGCAAAGTTACAGTCAGTTTGATGGGTTGAAGTGTGTTTATTTTAACGCAAAAAATGTCAGGAATAAGGGTGATGAACTTAGAGCATGGATCAGTACTTGAAGCTGTGATGTTGTGGCCATTACGGAGACTTGGATATCACAGGAATGGTTGTTGGATGTTCCAGTGTTTAGACGTTTCAATTGAAATAGGGAGGGAGGTAAAAGAGGTGGGGGAGTGGCATTGCTAATCAGGGATGGTATCACAGCTGCAGAAAGGGAGATTGTCGAGGAGGGTTTGTCTATTGAGTCAGCATGGGTGGAAGTCAGAAACAGGAAAGGAGCAGTCACTTTATTACGAATTTTCTATAGACCCTCCAATAGCAACAGAGACACTGAGGAACAGATTGGGAGACAGATTTTGGAAAGGTGCAGAAGTAATAGGGTTGTTGTCATGGGTGACTTCAACTTCCCTAATATAGACTGGAATCTCCTAAGTGCAAATAGTTTGGATGGAGCAGGTTTTGTCAGATATGTCCAGGAAGTATTTCTGACTCAATATGTAGATAGGCTGACTAGCGGGAAGGCCATATTGGATTTGGTGCTTGGCAATGAACCAGGCCAGGTGTCAGATCTCTTGGTGGGAGAACATTTCAGTGAGGGTGATCACAACTCCCTGATCTTTACTATAGTCAGTCATGGAAAGGGATAGGAGCAGATGGTATGAGAAAGTATTTAATTGAGGGAGGGGGAATTACAAGGAGGTAGGGGAGGTCCTTAATGAATACTTTGCTTCAGTATTCACGAATGAGAGGGACCTCGTTGTTTGTGAGGACAGCATGAAAGAGGCTGATGTGCTCGAACAGGTTGATGTTAGGAAGGAGGATGTGCTAGAAATTTTGAAAAACATGAGGATAGATAAGTCCGCTGGGCCTGATGGAATATACCGAAGGTTACTACGGGAGGCGAGGGAAGAGATTGCTGCGGCTTTGGCGATGATCTTTGATCTTTGCATCCTCACTGTCCACTGGAATAGTACCAGATGATTGGAGGGTGGCAAATGTCATTCCCTTGTTCAAGAAAGGGAATAGGGATAATCCTGGGAATTACAGACCAGTCAATCTTACTTCTGTGGTGGGCAAATTATTGGAGAGGATTCTAAGAGATAGTATTTATGATTATTTGGTAAAGCATAGTTTGATGAGAGACAGCATGGCTTTGTGAGGGGCAAGTCATGCCTTACAAGCCTTATTGAATTGAAAACTACTTGAGGATGTGACAAAACACATTGATGAAGGTAGAGCAGTGGATGTCATATATATGGATTTTAGCAAGACGTTTCATAAGGTTCCCCATGGTAGGCTCATTCAGAAAGTAAGGAGGCATGGGATTCAGGGAAATTTGGCTGTCTGGATACAGAATTGGCTGTCCAATAGAGGACCAAGGGTGGTAGTAGATGGAAAGTATTCAGCCTGGAGCTCGGTGACCAGTGGTTTTCTTCAGGGATCTGTTCTGGGACCTGTGCTCTTTGTGATCTTTATAAATGACTTGGATATGGAAGCAGAAGGGTGATTAGTAAGTTTGCTGATGACACGAAGGTTGGTGAAGTTGTGGATAGCGTGGAGGGCTGTTGTAGGTTGCAACGGGACATTGACAGGATGCAGAGCTGGGCAAAGAAGTGGCAGATGGAATTCAACCCGGAAAAGTGTGAAGTGATTCATTTTGGAAGGTCGAAATTGAATGCAGAATACAGGGTTAATGGCAGGATTCTTGGCAGAGTGGAGGAACAGAGGAATCTTGGGGTCCACAACCATAGATCCCTCAAAGTTGCTACCCTAGTTGATAGAGTTGTTAAGAAGGTGTTGATTTTCATTAACAGGGAGATTGAGTTTAAGAGCCGCGAAGTTATGCTGCAGCTCTATAAAACCCTGGTTAGACCACACTTGGAATATTGTGTTCAGTTTCTGGTTGCCTCATTATAGGAAAGATGTGGAAACTTTAGAGACGGTGCAGAGGAGATTTACCAGGATGCTGCCTGGGCTGGAGGGCAGGTCTTATGAGGAAAGGTTGAGGGAGCTAGGGATTTTCTCATTGGAGCAAAGAAGGATGAGAGGGGACTTGATAGAGGTGTACAAGATGATGAGGGGCATAGATAGAGTAGATAGCCAGAGACTTTTTCCCAGGGCAGAAATGACTATCACGAGGGGACATAATTTTAAGGAGGAAGGTATAGGGGAGATGTCAGAGGTAGGTTCTTTACACTGAGAGTGGTGGGTGCATGGTATGCACTGCCAGCAGTGGTAGTAGAGTCAGATACATTAGGGACATTTAAGCGACTCTGGATAGGCACATGGATGATAGTAAAATGTAGGGTATGCAGGGTAGTTTGATCTTAGAGTAGGATAATAGGTCGGCACAACATCGTGGCCGAGGGGCCTGTACTGTGCTGTAGTGTTCTATGTTCTATATTAATAAACGTTGACTTAGCCACTAATGCCGACATCCTGTGAATGATTTTAAGAAAGGATGGTTTAAAGAGTCATAAATAATCATCCCTGCTTTTAAAGGTTGAATAAATTAACATTAAAATAATTAAACTAATTTAACTGTTAAACAAATTTCATTCTAAGTTTAATCAAAGTGTTGATTAGTTTGCTTTTCTGTTTCTGGTTTTATTTTAGGGACTCAAGAAGAATTGGGCAGAGTTGAATCATGCCTATCAAAGTCTTTCCATTTTGATAGACACTCATTCGAAGCAAATGCACAAGGAACTACTTGAGGCCAAAATGAAAAAACTAGAACAAGACATTGACATGTTTGAGAAACATAAATTTATCTACATTCCACGAAACTAAAGCCCAAGATAATGTTGTTTTCTCAATTATAAGCTCGTTGCATCTTAGCTTTTCTAAAAAAGTAATATTATTATGCAAATCTTGTTCCATTTTTGATCCTAGTAGTTGTGCATGTAAAATTTCTACATATTTCATACTTAAAGGATACACTTACGTAAGCACAAAAATGAAGAATTTGTGACGTCAACAACAATGTTGCAATTTAAACTTATTATCACAAGATTTTCCTTTTACTTTATTTGACAACAAATTGTTATAAATGACAATGTATTGTACAAATGTTAAATATTCATTGTATATCAATAACAGTGGTTTATTCTGAGAAACTGTCACTGGTTTTGCATTTAGAGAAGCAAGGTTTTGATATGGCATGTTCAACTAACTGAGCAACCAAAGTCACCAACTTATTGATAAACTTTAATAGTGCAACATGTATGAGAGAAAGTGGACTTGGTGTTCATTGTTCAAAGGAACTTGCAGAAAAAGTATCATGAAAGTAAAGCAAGAATAGTTATTTGGAAGTACCAAACCTGAGTATTGCTGAAAAAAAATGTTGTGTTGAAGTTTTTCATCTTGCACTCATCAGGCCAATGCAAGAGATAAGCCAACAGTTATATTATGAGCAGTGTTGTTCAGTTGGTTCACAGATCCAGCCATGTCTATCACCCAGTCTCATGAATTGAACCAGGTGCAACACGTGTTCATGTTCTTTGTGTCTACAAAGTGGCATGCCTTTGCTTGTTCACTGCTAAGGGCAGTGACCACAGTCTACCTGCCTAGTTTAAAATGTAAGGAAAACCTGACAGTTTACTGTACATCAGCATTTATCAGCACATTCTCTATGGCAACGCCTCTATTAATCAGAGTCCACTTGTTAACCAACTGGTACTCTTTTCTCTCATGCAGCGTGAATGTTGTTTTTCCACTTGAACTGGAATTTTTGTGTGTTGCCCTGACGAGTGCAAGATGAAGAATTTCAACAGAGTATTTTTTCAGCAATACCAAAGTAAAAGCATTCCTGTAACATTACAGCACAGGCCATAATGGACATACAAAAAATATTGACATCGCACTTGCACAATAAATTTACAAAGAAAGGACTTCAGTACAATTAAATGACATATGCCATAATGGCAAACCAGAGAATTGAAGAAGCTAATTACCCTTATTATGATGACCTTGTCTGAGTACATATCTATGCTTAAATGATAAAACGTGAGTATATAAGGAAGCTTTGGAGCAAAGTAGCTGCAGAAGATGAAAATAAAATGCATTATGTTAGAGACAACGTTATTTTTGACACAAAGACTGAAGTAAATTAGAAACAAAAGCAGTTACAACTAGATTTCCCAAAGGATGCTGGAAAACTTAATATGCTGGATGTTAGCTGCAGCTCAGTAAGTAATGTTCTTCCCTTTGTCTGGGAAGGTTGGGAGTTCATGTCATCATCCAATAACTTGAGTACAAAATCTAGCCCGACACTTCAGTGTAAGAAATAGAAGCTGATGTGTGCTGCTTGATCCTTCAAGTCTGCTTTACTGTTCAACAAAGTTGTGGATGATTTTCTAACTCAGCTCCACTACCCAATGTGCCTGATAGGAACATTATGAATCAGGAACAGAAGGCCATTCAACCCTTTGAGTCTGCTCTATCACTCAAAGATCATGGCTGACTGGATAGTAACTTTAAATCAACATTTTGCCAACCCCCAATAACTGCTCATGCCTTTGCTTAACAAGAATTTATCTGTCTCGGTATTAAAAATATTGAAGGACTCTGCTTCCACCTTTTCAGGGAGAGAGTTCCAAAGACGACCCTTTCAGGGATCAAAATGTTGCTTAATCTGTGCTTTAAATGGGTGATCCATGACTTTTAAACTGTGATTTGGTGTAGATCCTTCCATGACAAGAAATTTCCTGACCACATCTACCCTGTCAAGACCCTTCAGGATTTTGTGTTTCATTCAAGTTGCCTCTTACTCTTTTAAACTAGAGTGGATACAAGCCTAGCCTGTTCAACGTTTCTTCACGAGACAACCTACCCATTAAACCTCTAACAAACCTTCTCTGAATTGCATCCAATGTATTTGCATCTTTCATTAAATAAAGTGACCAATACAATGCATAATACCCCAGATATTTTAGCATTTGATTCCTTGTGATAAATGATAACATTTATATTAACTTTTGTAATTACTTGCTGTACCAGTATACTGACCTTTTATGATTTATACACAAGGACACCCAGATCTCTCTCTATCTCAGAGGTCTGCAACCCCTCGCCATTTAGATGGTATGCATTTTTAATTCTTCCTGCCAAAATGAACAGCTTCATATTTTCCCACATTATAGTCCATTTGCCACAACTTTGCCCAATTACTTAACCTATCTATGTCCTGTAGCAACTTTACATCCCATCTATACCTTGGTGCAACTTCCCTTTGTCGTCTTCATAATTTACTGTTCTATGTATCAAAATGAAAATGACTGTCTCAACACCAAGAGTTGGAGATTAAGATTTTTTTAACTGTGATAGGGGGATCTACTTGTGAGCAATATGAGGCCCTTCAAAAGGGCAATAACATTGAATAAACACTCATATAATACAGATTAAAGACATTTGTTATCAGAATTCTGGAGATGAACCTCATGCATTGACCAACTATGTCAACTAAAAGTCCTGGCTACAAGCAATCTTGACAATGTCATTGAACAGTACAAATTAATCCATATATCATGTGAAACAGAATAATGTCAAGCAAGATATAAAGTTTCACCAAAGTTCCATAATTCACAAACATTCTAAGGTCTGTGTAATGTCTAGGAGTTGCTGCCCTCACACCTTAGACTATAAATTGTGCACTTTGTAATCTGCCTTTTTTGCACAATTTGGAACGTATGGGAGAAGTTCTCATTCTTCCTCACATACTACAATCACACACTGTATGTGTGTGAAACAGTTTATGTAGCGTGCATCTAAATCAAGTTAACATTGTGAAGGTTAATGTGGACATATCCCATTGCCCATCCTGTTGCAGGCTTCCATGTAAAAATGTTTTAAGAGTTTAAATGTCACTTTTGTGTACTGCGACGGCTGAACGAACATATTACTAAGAAGCTTTTTCTGATATTGAGGTTGGTTGGCTTGCCGAGCTGGTTTGTTGTTCCGCAGACGTTTCGTTACCGTGCTGGGT